AAAAAAAAAAAAAAAAAAAAAAAAGGAATCCACCTGGATCTTCCCCCCAACTCTCCTAAAACACCCTGCACTTCTTTCGTCCGCCTGCGCAGGGCGGGCATTGAGGAGCATCTCAGCCAAGAACAGAGCAATCTCTCTGATAAGCCCAGGCAGCCCTGGAGCCCACAGACCGTCAGATTGTCTCCAGGAGACCCAAACAAACCGTCAGTGCAGGAGGAAACAAGGCAGTCGTGGCAAACCAAGCATCCGGCTCTGTGCGTGCTGAGCAGCCGCTCTGCTCTGGCCGTAGCCACCGGTTAGCAGGACGATTCACTCACCTGCTCACACGTGTGTTTCTTAGCCCACGAAGCCCTCTGTTCTGGAAAAGGAGACAGGTGCTGGACATAAAATTCCAGCGAGAAGTCACCGAGCAGCTACTGCGGCTGTGTGTGAAGCTCCTGGCCCACACGGGCTCCTTCACACCCGACGGTGATGCTCCGCCGTAGGAGGCCTCATCACCCCGTTGCTCAGAAGGAGACATCAAGGCTCAGAGCGTTGGACCCGCTCAGTGCTGGGACGTGGATCCACATCTGTGATGATGGAGCCCAGCTCGCCGCTCCTCTGCAAGGAGCATGGCGCCGTTGGCAGAGGCCAAGATCCGACGTGGCTGGTGGAGGCTGAAGACCCTGATCCCAGCTCCACCCGGAGCTCCAGTGCTGCTTGTGATTCTGCTTCCTGTGGTGAAGGAAAATGCTGTTCCTCGGTTGTTTTTCACCCAAATGGGTGATGCAAACGGTTACTAGCGTAAAGGAACACAGGAATGGGTGGTCCCTTCACGAGTCATTTTGGGGGCCTTCCCTGTGTCTTTGCTGTCCCCCCGTGACTTGGTGCCTTGCAAGGATGTGGTCCGTGGCTCCTTCCTGGTTTTGTGGGTGGAGGCTGCCTTCTGGCTGTGTGCCCTAAATCAAATGATCAAGTGTCTGATTAACAAGCCAAATGTGGCCCTTCTTTTGCCCACATATGCAGACACTCGCTCTTCAGAGAAGGAGATGTCTGCCTTCCGTTTCTTGTCAGGGCTGAGCTAAATGCTTCAAGGCGGAGAAGGGCGCAAAAACTGAAGTACATCCAACGTGATGGAACATTGCGAAATTATTCAAAGGATATTTTCAAAGGCCGTTCATTGACCTAGAAAAAAATGGTCTGCCATAAAAACAGTAGAGAACAATCCATAATGTGGTTCAAATAAAAAAAAAAAAATCAACATATACTTTGTGAATGTCTGCTGTATGCCAGATGCTTAGTAGGATATTTGGGTGATGGAGGACATTTGGATTATGAGCCAAGACAGACATGGCCTGTGGCCTGAAGCAGCTTACTATAGTCTGGTGGAGGGACAGAGACTGTTACATAAACAGAGAAACAATGCACAGAATCGTGCGGCAGCCTGTAGGAGACAGGGGCCCTGCACCTCTCTGTGGATATGATGTTTAAGCCAAGATGTGGTAAGGGCCAACTTCCCACCTTTTCACCCAAAATTGTCTCCCCATTTGTTTTAGCCCCGCCCCTCTCCCCTCCCCTCCCCTCCCCCATCTCCTCTCATCTACTCTGTTTTGTTTTCCCTTCCCTCTCCCTCCCTCTTTTTTCTTTCCCTTCCTCTTTCTCCCTCTTATCTTCCCATCCTTTCCTCTACCTCTGTCCTTCTTCCTCTCTCTCCTCTCTTTCCCTTCTTTTGCTTATAAAGCATTTTTAGTGCTTTATTTATCTTTATCCCTTGTATCAAAAGGATCTGATGCCTTAGGGGGAAAAGCGAGGACCAGCCAAGGAGATGAGCGGTAGAGAAGAGATAGGAATGATGGGACAGATGGTCCCCAGCGGTGCTCCTACCCTGGCACTGCTCCGGAGTACTGGGAATGTCACCTCACAAAGCAGTTGTTGCAAGTGTACAAGGTCTTCCACGACTCAAGCCACCAGGCATTTAGCAGACTGCCTTATGTTTATACTCTAGGGCAATGGTCCGGGCATCTTATCCTGGCGTTGCAGTTCCTCTGACTGATGTGGGGAAGCTTCCATGTCTCTGGAGAACTTCCTGCCTGTGGCTCCAGGGTGGGAGAATCTGCCTGCCTCCTGTCTGTGGGCAGTGCTTTGCAGGGTTTCCTCAGTTGCCCTTATTTCTTGTGCAGTGACAGCTCTTGAATGGAGCTCCCCCTTGTGGGCTGGACACTGTGTCAGCAGTGGCTCTGGGGCCCATCACAGTGGACCAAGAGCAGAAGTGCCTGAAAGGTACAGGAGTGAATGAGCGAATCAGTGAGCCGGGATTCTTCCAAAGCAGCAGAGGCAGAAAGGCAGCCCCCTCGGGGTGAGGGTTCAGGGCAGGGCACCAGGTTGGACCACAGCTCCATTAGGAGCAACTGAGTTGTCATGGGCTGCTGCCCACAGAAAGGCCCAAGGGAGGCAGGAGCTGCAGCGACACAGTACCTGGTGCTACTCGGCTGTCCCTGAGAGCTGGCAAAGGAAGCTTTGCTGGGGGAAAGGCTAACTGGGTGGAAGGATAAAGTCCAGAGGTGGAGGTGGCGGCAGGCCTGACAGTCCAAGGCTGTGCTGTCAGGCAGTGTCCCTGATTTCAGTATTGCAGGTGGACTGTTGCGCTCCAGGGCCGTAGAATTTGTGCAGAGTGGGGCGGGGGGCGAGTTCACAGGAAGAGATGGTGACTGATTCCTGTGTTGCTGCACAGACCCCCCAGGGCTGAGTGCAGAGTCTAGCACTTAAGAAGGGCCACGCAAACTTTTGTTGATGGGGGTCCACAGGAGGAAATGGTTAGGGTAAGAACGGGGGGCTCCTTTTCTCTGCCTTCCTCCCCATTCACTTTCCATATTTCCCTCTTTTTTTCTCCTTCCTCGACCAGGCTGTAGGCCCAATTTTTGCCTCCATGGTAGCCTCGTGAACTGCCTTACCAGATCTAGCAAGTTATATATGAGGGTTTCATATTTCAATTTCAGATGAAAAATGGATAATTTTTATATATTTTCTATTAATGTGCATTTTGTATTTTTAGCATTAAATATACAATAAGAAGTATAAAAATATTGAGACATAAATCATTTACTGTACACCCGTAATTCACTGGAATCCCAGGTTTTGTTCTGGCAGTCCTAACTCTGTGCTAAAAATGTTTCCAGTCCTATTGGTGAGGCCGAATCAGATGGAGAGAAAGCTAGGTGCTTCTCAGCTCTCACCTTCAGTACAGTCAGCCTGGCTAGGAACAGATGCTGAGTACTTAGTGAAAGACCTCAATTGCCAGCCTCAAGAAGTAGGGAGAGACCAAGAGAGACTGGCTGGAGAGTTGGGTTACCCGATACAGAAACGAGAAGATCACATGCCAGCTCATACCTTCACATATAGCGTAACGTGTGATCTTAAAGTGAACACGGCCCCTGCTCCATTCCAGGTGCCTTCTATTGACAGTGTCACCCCATCTTTTTAAATCTGCACAAGACCCTGCCAGGTAGGAGGCATCGTCCCTGTTCCCTACGTGGGTCGGTACATGCAGAAAGAAGTGGCTTTTGAGATCTTTGGCATATCTGGGAAGCAGCAGAACCAGGATTGGAAACCAGAGGTGCCTGGCTAAAGCCTGGCATCTCCTCAAATGCTGCTGTGTTACTCCTCTAAAAAGAGCCCAAGACAGAAACTTCAGAGTGTGCTGGAAAGAGCCCTGTGGAAGGAGTCAGGAATTCCATGTAATTTCAACTGAGCTTCACCATCCATCCATCCATCCACCCATCCACCCATCCACCCATCCACCCATCCACCCATCCATCCACCCATCCACCCATCCACCCATCCATCCATCCATCCATCCATCCATCCACCCATCCATCCATCCACCCATCCATCCACCCATCCATCCCACTATGATGTAGACATGCCATCCATTTGTTGACTCATCAGCCCATCTTTCTATCCACCGTTCCTCCACCCACTCACACATGTTACCACCTATCTTTTCATTCCCCTGTTAGGCCCTGGGAAGATGTGGTGGCCGAACAGCTCCCACAAAGCTCAGCTCACCTGGAGGGTTTACACATCTTCATATCTCCTCTTGGGCTAGGTCACAAGTCCTTCTCAGCTCAATCTCACCACCAGCATCCTGGTGAAGCCCTGAAGCTAATCAGAGACTGGAGTCTCCTGTGGTGATCCTTATGTTGTTTTTATTCCATCCAGCCAGGAATGAACAACGTGCTGGACTATGGCCTGGACCGAGTGACCAATCCGAACGAAGTGAAGGTAAACCAGGTATGTCTGTACTGTCCTCTGAGGGCCTGTGAAGGTGTCCACATGTCCTCCATGTCTACTGAGGCAACGCTTTCTCCCCTCTTGAGAGTGCTACACAGAGATCCACTGTGGCTCAGTGGGGTCAGGGGCAGTGGAGAGGGAAGGCCATGGCCAAGGTCTGGGTAGAAACAGCTCATTGGTGGAGAGAGAGAAAGAGAGAGAGAGAGAGAGAGAGAGAGAGAGAGAGAGAGAGAGAGAGAGAGAGGGAGGGAGGGAGCATACAGTGCGTGTCAGAGCAGATGGCATCTCCATGGTTGGTTTTCAGTCTTTTCTGAGTCACTTCCTTCTTTGAAAATCTTATGAGAATTATAAGCCTATCCTACCCAAAGATGCGCAGGTATTTGACACATAATTCAGCCAATACCTTGATCCTGAGAAGATTATAGGCCCCAGGCTCAAAACCTTTGAATCAAACGTTGACGTAAACCTTAATCCACACAACGGGTACTAGATTACCACACTTTCTTTCATATCTCACCGGGGATTTTTCAAAGATTCTCAGACATTTTTTTTTCATTTTAAAAAGACCCTTTCCACAAATAGGTCACCCTGCATAATGGTCAGTCAGTTTCTTATGGTGTTTTTTCTCCCCCTTAAAGAAATTCGGTTTACAAGCTGTTAAAATCATGTTGCTGTTGACATTTTAGACCAGACAGTTCTTTAGCAGGTTGTCCTGGTGGGATAGCGTGATTTGCAGCATCTCTAGCTGCTACCCATTAGATGTCTCTGTTCTTCTCCCTCTTCCTCTTCCCTAGTCCTGACAATCAAAAATGTCTCCAGACATTGCCTACTTTACCTTGGGGAGGAAGTCAAAATTGCCCGAGCAGAAAGAACGGGCCCAGTAATCTTGCCTAAAATACATTTAAAGTTATCTTGGGTGGTTGTCATTGCTTTCTCTCTAACGCTGTTTGTGGGAAGCAAGCGGCTGTCACCTCTTCTGTGTCCTCTACAAGGCGCAGCTGTGCCGTAAGTCAAGTGTGGGGGCCTGGAGGGATGTGCTTGGAAAAGAGGGAGATGGAAGAGGAAGGAGAAGGAGAAAGGAGTAGGAAAAAGGCAGCTCTGGGACATGTGCAGAGGGACACTGCGTCCCCAGAGCGTGCGTCACCAGGGGAATTGCTAGGTTCCTTGTCCATGGGCCACAGTGACCCTCCCTGTGACACACGTGTGTATGTGTTGCCGTCAGCCTTCCTAGGGCAGCCCTTCCCGTGGTCCCCTTGTCAGATAACATCTCTGCTGAGCCCCTTGTCGGTTCAGTTGCCATGGAAACAGAACCACTGAGTAAAATAGAGAACCCAGGGTGGAAGATCTGCTTTTTTTTTTTTTTTTTTT